CACCCACACCCACACCCACACCCACACCCATCCACACCCCACACCCCCACACACACCCTAAGCAAATATATTTATGTGGAAATGGCAAAAAGAACTTGTACGTCGACAAGATATGACAGGTGAATTTTATGGCCGGTGAGTAAAACAGGACGAATTACACTCAATAAAATTTCATTTCAAATCATTTTGACAGATACATCGATGATATTTTTATGACATGGAATAGATCCGAAAATGGCTTGAAGCATTTATTAAACGAAGCGAATACTTGGCACCCAAATATTAAATTAGAATATAAAATTAGTAAAAGTCTTCTATTTCTTGATGTTGTTCTTACAAATAATAATGGTATGCTTTCAACATCTGTCTATCATAAACCAGCAGCAGAACCTTACATTGTACCATTTATATCTGATCATCCAAGACATATATTCGTTAATGTTATACAAACAAGTCTTACACGTGCTCTAAGAAATTCATCAACATTTGAAATATTCAACAACGAACTTATCAATATTAAAATAACTCTATTGTACAATGGGTTAGCATTTTTCAATTCAATTTTCTTCCTATTGATCGACAACACTATTTAGATATCCATCATCATTCATTGAGAAACAATTTCGAAATTTTTTTCTGAATATATAAATTTTTTATCATTTTTACCCTACATTGATAACGCAACTCAATTTGTAACTATGCGTAACAAGTTACTCAATCAACCCACTGGTCGTCAATCACCAGTATCCATAAGTGCAGCAACAGCCGACATTGACAATGACCAGACCGATGACGCACACCACGAACCAACAACAACAACAGCTCATGAGCAAAACAAGAAAGCGCTTACTTATGGAAATAAATTATTCGTCCATTATACACATGAAAAACGATTTCAAATATTTAAATCAGACATGCATCGAGTCTATGACAATGTATTCAAAGATACACTCGTTGCCGATGTTAAATTGATTGTCGGCAATAAGAATCATCGTCAGTCAAAAAATGAACTCATTTGTAAACGACCTAAACAATCCTTACTTATCAATAAGCCATTCAAAAGTAAGTCATCTAAAGTAGAAATCAACAAAGATTAACCGACGCACAATATTTCATTTTATCCCACTTTTCTAGAACAGCACAGAAAAAGACAAGAATCACGGAAAGAAAATATATCTGATCTGGCGAATCAATAATCATCTACATCGGAACCACAATACACCAGTCTGCAAGCCACCACAAAATATAAAAAACTAAAGAAACCACTGATTTTCATACAGCTACTACTCTAAACTTTTCTTTTTAACTAAACTATGAGATAAATTTCAGCTTCCACATTTTACAAAAAATATTTAGTAAAAACGATTTACAACAACCAACCGAATATCAACCACTATTACGAACTGATTTCTTTTCTGTTTCAGATACAATAAATACGCCAATTCCATATTTCTCGACACTCAATAATGACACAGCGAACAACAAACTATAATGTCGAAACATCAATACTTTTTCGACATCCTTCATTTGAACAGAACAATGCTACTGCTTATATCAATCGGAACAATAGCATCAGCTAAAAAACGGCATAATAGCGAAAAACTAAATTCAACCAAACCGAATCCAAAGAACAGCAACCTCATTCATTCAACAACGATCATCATCAGAATACTGCTTTGTGAATTGATTCTTCTATTACATTATTAGAAATAATTTTGTAAATTCTTGCAGATTTTATAATTTGTTTTGAATTTTCTTTCGAGAATAATTCAGAATAATTAAGCCATCTGATGAGACCCTTTAGCAAGGTGGAAATCTAGATCATGGCAGCTTATTCACACCCACACCCACTCCTATAGTAACACACTGTCAGGTTTATATGGAATTCCAGATTTATTTTCCCATGAAAATATGGAGCGCACTAAATTTTTCCAATACATATTTCTATCATTTTGTAGCCCTTTCAAAGGTGTATTGATTGTGAAAAATAGGATTGTCTATGCTGTACAGAGATGGTGATGGATAGGTATCCATGTGATTTTTTCTCTATCTATGGCTTTTTACTTTAATATGCTACAAAGTTGCTTTGAAAACACTATAGATAGCTTTAGTGAAGCGTTTTATTGAATAAAAAAAAATTTTCTTAGAACTCCATAAGGAAATTATAGTGTTTAGTGCTTAGGGCCATTTTGCCTAACAAGCGTCCCCCCTCCTTTATCAAAATATTTTGAAAAAAAATAGAATTATATGTTGTCTTTGTCATTTATCTATCCATGAATCCTAAGTATCTATTATAAAAATAAAATCCTTTATACCTCAATCGCATTTAAAATAAATGTTTTATTCTACACATCAGCGAATCTAATCTGAATTTCTTCTCAAATGAACAAAGTTTACATAAGTTTATAGTTCGGTCGTACATATAACTCATAATCATCATCTCTGCAATCTTGCGTTGGACTGTACTGTGACTGAAAAGCAAAAAAAGTAAATAGTAGAATGATCTTCTTGACCTTATCTTCAGATTCATATCAAGTTGAATCATAGTCAGGTTGAATGGGTCATGAAAAAGTTGTCCGTGTCAGATATCTCGACATTCATAGCTATTTTCATCGCTTACCATAATTATCAACGGCAGGATCCACTTCACTATTCACAATGAGATTCACACTCAATATGCGCTTCCCTTTCAGAAACAGTTCAGCAAATCATGACTGCTTTTGTTTTTCTATTGAAACGCTGTGAGTACAATGAACGTTGAATCACTAATCTCAAAGTAAATGTGAGAGTTAAGATAATATTCTGTTAGTAGAGAAAGTACATCAGTGCAGTTTTCATTCAGTACTGTGTCATTTCAACTAAGAAATACTGCAGACCATTGATTGCCGTGCACATTTGGGACCTAGACAACCGCAGACAGCCAAAGGATAATCATTTTCATAGATCTTTGGCTCATTGGTGCTGTCCAAGTCGTAAAGCAGAAACTTGAATACATGCTTCCCTAAATAATGATAATGAAACGACATGTGCCATGGGAGCCATTCCGCGTAAGCCACGACCGATTCTCTATAGAGGCGCTCTATCGAACTTCTCCGATTTGGCTCATTTTTATATATGTCATAGAACAAAGCGTTTCAAGCATTATTACGTAAGCCGATTGAAAAAATATTGAGCCGTTCGGTTTTTATAGCGATTTTACTGGAGGCACTATTAAATCAGTGAAAAACGCATTTTTACGAGGAGCGATTTTCAGTAGCCCAAAACCTCAACAAACGAGCAACTGTTTGATCTGATTTTTTTTGCATTCAATAACTAAGAAAGTTCTATACATACCATAACTTGCAGCTCTCTTAGTCGAAGCTTTGGTATTTTATGGATTCCACATTTTTTAAAAATTTTCGATGCTTATATCTCGTGATTGGACAATGATAGAGAGCTGACATTCTGAAAGCTAGCATATCTTGTAACTATCTCACTACCATGTAAATTTCAGCTTGTTAGCTTGAAGTATTCGCCCACAGTAGCTGGAAGAAAAATGAAATTTTTGTCTGAAAGTCAATTTTTGACCTCGATTTCCTCCCAAAAGAAACCCTAACTTTTTTATCGGTATATACAGATTTAAAGACCGTACTTTGGTCTACAACCCACCAAAAAAATCGGCATGGGACGCACATGGGCCGAGGAGAAACCTACAGATCTTTTTTGCAAAAATGAATTCTTTGCATTTCACTTTTTACACCTCAACTTTACTGAATATCTCATGAATGGTTCTACCTAGAAAGTTAAAACTTTTAGGGACGATAGATCTAACATAATTAAGCAAAAAGTTCGCTTGAGACAAGCTTCCAAAATGTATTAGTCTATAGGCCAGTCGAGTCCTATTGGTCGAAAATGAACTTGGTCATTCTGCAAACAGTTTTTTTCCTACAAGTAGTACAAGCGAATTTAACATTTTATCGTTGTTGTTTTATGTTGTTTCGAGTGAGAGAAGTTAATTAAAATGCGTCAAGAAGCATTTTCTGCGTCGACAAGAAACGGCAAAGCACCAAAGAGGGCTTAAGTTTTTTTTCTTCGATTCCAAATATGTCAATATTATCTGAATATTGAGTACTTGTACACTTGTTGAAACATAATTTGTTGGATCATCGAGCGCATACAATATTGAGTGAAAATAAACTCACAAGTCTCGTTAGCCGTCTATATAATTTAGTATTTTGTAAAAACTATGCCTGCAAATGATCATGCAGGAGGTACACACTAAGTAAAAATGTGTCGCATGTGTCGTGATTTGCGACACAATGTACGACACATTAGAGGCCGACACGATGTGCTCGTTGCGACACATTTTATCCAGCAAGAGCACGACACATTCTTGTACGACACATCCGACACATTTTGAAAACGTGGTTCAAAGCTATCGTACAGCGAATTTTTCGCTTTTTTTCTTTTTTAAGCATATTGTATATTTTGAATTTAATTTCCTTCACTTATCCCTATTGTTGTAACTAAGGTAGACTAGATCCGAGGATCTGTCTGACCTTGAGTTGGTCTGATCTTCATCAGACCACTTCCAGAGTAGTACTCCCCAGTCATTGATCAAGGGAGACATTTTCTTGGCCCAAAATATTAGTATAAAAACAATCCAGAAAAAAGATTAAATGAAAATTTTATGTTTCACATGTTCAATCGCATTGCGTATATACAGTTCTGCTCGCATAAGAAAGGGGTGAATGAATAGACAGTAGACAGACCACGACAAATTCATTTACGACACATTATAGCCTCGACGGATTTTTGGGCTGGAGCTCACGACACAATAACTGACGACACATAAATACGGCACATTTTAAATTAGAGTGTAAGAAATAGATGAGAGGACACACATCAATTTAAAATGTGTTATATGTGTCGTAATTTGCGACACAATGTACGACACATCCAAATACGACATGAGGTGCTCGTTGTGACACATTATCTCCAGCCATGGCACAACACATTTTGTTCGACACATGTGCCACATTCTGAAAACGTGTTTAAATCCACTGGCCAGCATACTTTTTATTCTTTTTCAAAAACAATATCATGAAAGTTTTTCAGATTTTATTGAATAGTTCTATTCTTAAAAACCTAAGCAGTTCGGTTCTTAGGATCTGATCCGCCCTCAAGCCGGTCCAGTTTTGCACCAAACCACTTCAGAGTAGTCCTCCCTCAATCACATACAATGGGCTATTTAATTTCAGTCTGAATTTATCAAATAAAAATAATACTTGATTTCAAACTGAAACGTGAGTCTAGGAGTGAGGGGGAGGGGGGGGGGGGGG